GGGGGGGGGGGCAGAGAAAAGTTCAGACAGTCAAAGCCTGCATCAGCAGCATCCCAGGGGTGAGGGCCCCCATGCCCAGGGACACCTAGAGGCCAACCTCTCAGAGGGGATGTCAGAAGGAACACTGGCCCGAGGCAGGAGGCCTGGGTTCAAGTCCAGCTCTGGCCCTCAGTGTCCTGTCTCCAGGGGCTCTTCCTGAAGGGGCCATCTACTGGACCTGAGCCCGTGTCTCCCACCCCAGGCCAAGACAGCTGGGCCAGACATGCATGGCCATGGCAGGAGACTAATGCCAAGCAACGGGCACGCAGCACAGAGAAGGAAGGTCTGAGTGGGCTGGAGCCGGCAGAGGCGAAGAGCCCTGCCCCACCCCTAGGAGCCAGGACTCCCGGCTTCTCAGGCCTCTCCACCCACAGCACTGCATGCATTCCCCGGGGAGCAGTACGTGCCGGCTGCCAAATTCTGCTCCAGGCGGATGGAACGGCCGCCCTTTCCCACGCCCGTGCTCACCCCAGCGCCGCACAGGCCCGGCCTTAGTCCACCCCGCCCTCTGTGTCCCCACCTCCCGGTCACCTCAGTGGCAGAGAAGAAGGAGTCTTCCGAGGTGAGGCTGTCCTCGTCGTCCGCCCGCAGACGCAGCGAGCCCTCGGTCAGGGGCAGCATGAGGGTCCGCTCTGGGGAGAGAGGGGGCTGAGCGGAGGCGCACTCGGCCTGAGCACCCGAGTCGGGCGGTGGCGCTGACCAGCACGACGCCCCCATCACTGAGCACGTGCGCGTGGAGACCCTGGGCCCACCGCCTCGGATGAACGGCCTCCCTCAACCCTGAGATGTCCGAGGAGATGGGCACAGTGAGGTGTGGAAACAAGGCTGCTGGAGGGTCCTGCCCACGGCCACACAGCGGGACCTGGAGTCCTGGTGGCCCCTGGGCCCCTCAGGGGAGGTCACTTGCCCTCTCTGATAAGCCGACACTTAGCCATTGACACCAAAGGGCTTGAGGGAGTCCACGAGCCACCCACGCGATATCCCCTCCTCACCCTCAGGGCTTCAGAAGCACCTGGGAAAGGCTGTGAAACCAATGGGCGGCGTCCACGACCCTGAAAGCCCCACCAGCCTCAGCCACACCAGGAGCCGAGGAAACAGGACCCTCCAACAGGCAAAGCTGCTCAGGGAGAGGTATGGAACACGTGTCCCCCTGGGCAGCCCTTGCCGGGTCTGTGTCACCACCACTGGTAGAGCCGGGGAGCTGGACACTCAGGAGCCTACCGTCCCCCGGGGGCTGACAGCACACAGGGGGAAGCCTGGGAGTCGTCAAATTCACTGCAAGGGTCTGGTGCCCAGTGGCCACTAGGACAACACTGGCTGCTGGGGGCATAACTTCATTCCCTCGGTGATGTCATGTCCCTTTACCCCGGTGGTGCAGGGTGACAGCAAGACTTGTGTTCTTGTCCCTTAGGCCTGCTCTGGGCTGATCTTGTGAGCCATCCCCTCCATCAACCCAAGGCCACAGGAAAAGACTCAAACCAAAGGCATGGAACAGGGGAGACATTGCCACAAGCCCACGGCTTGCTCCCAAGGGTACAGGGCCAGGGACTCATCCCAGCTCTGCTCCCGCCTGCCACATATCAGGGGATGCCTCTGTTCCTCCAGGGGCCTCAATTTCCCCATCTGTGCAATAGATCAGAGGGGGGCTGAGGTTCTGGTTTGCCTGACACACTGAGGAGTCACATCCGGTTCTCTCACTGCCTCCCCACCCCCACCCCACTGCAGCCTGTGTGGGGCCCAGCTCACCCAGGTCCAGCAGCAGGCTGTCGGACGGGAAGGTGGACCCGAACTCCTCCTGCAGGTGGTAAGCCCGGTGCAGCAGGGACTCCAGCTTCTCTGCAAACTCCTTTCGCTGTGACTCAGGCTGTGGTTAAAACAGCGACCATCAACCCAGGCCCCCCAAGCTTCCATGCCAACGGCCCCTTCCCTCACCAACAATGGGTTCCCAGCCCCTGGGGACAGAGGAGCAGGCTCTGGGACCCCGCAGTGAAAGCACAGATCTAGACCTGAGCTGCCAGTCCAAGAGCCAACTTGGCCAGAGAGCCCCTGAAGTATGGCCAGTCCCACCTGAGATGTGCCAAAGGTATAAACACACTGGATTTCAAACACTTAGTTTCAGGTAGAGATAAACAAACAACCCCAGTGACTGTTCATGCTGATTACGTGTTGAAATGAGAAAGTTCAGGATACACCAGCTTACACAAAATAAATTATTCAAGTTAATTCACCCGTTTCCTTTTGCTTTTTAATGTGGTCTCTAGAAACTTTTAAACTTCCTACTGGCAGCACTGCTCCAGACCCAAGCTGACCCGGGCTTAGACCTGGCCCCACCAGTTCCAAACTGTGACCTGGAGCAAGAAACATGCTGAGCCTGTCCCCTCGGTGTCCCCACCTGTAAACCAAGATAGGAATGCCCACTTCCTAGGGCCCTAGGGAACCATGGAGGAGGGAAGGTGTGCGGGCCACTGGCCCACGGTGACAACCAGGACATGTTAGCTTCTGTGAACATTTAGTGTACTTTATCCTTACCGCTGTGCTAAGAGTGTCAGGAGCCCAGACAGCTGGGTGTCGGGGAAGGCACTGTACTGGACACGCAGCAGCCGGGGGCCCAGCGACCTCCTCGACACCCTCAGCCCCCAGGCCAGAGCAGGGGGAAGGAGGGGGCACTGCTCCTTTAACCCCAGGCTCTTCTGGTCCAACGGGCCAGGCACGGGCAGGCCCGACTGTTTCCACAGAGGCTGCCAGATCCTGCACTTGCACGTAACCAAACCCGGGGGAGGAGACAAGGGCGACTCAGGCCTGAGGCCGCTGGGGAGGCAGAGCCAGAGGAACTCAGAGGGGACAGTAACGATGGAGATGGCTGCCTCTCACCGAGTGCCTGCCCTGACCCGGCACCTCGCAGGTCAGCCTCCTGGTACCCCTCAAAGGCAGGGACTGTTATGACCGCATTTCACAGAGAACGCAAGGAGGTGAAGTGGACCAGCTCACCACTTAGAGCCTGGGAGCATAGGGACCTGACCCCTGTCATGGCACCCCAGGCCCACTGGACATTTTGCTCAGTTCCCCACAGGGCTGGACCCCGCTCCACGAGGCCCGCAGAGACCTGTGGCTTAGCCGCGGCCTGCCAGCCGTCTCTGTGAAGTGACCTTGGTTAGGGAATAGTTTCTTAGCTATGGCACCACATGCACCCATGACAAAAGAAAAATAGATACTGAATTTCATCAAAATTAAACTGTTGTGCCTCAAAGGACACCATCAAGAGAGTGAAAAGAGTCTGGCTGGCGTGGCTCAGTGGTTGAGTGTCAACCTATGAACCAGGTCACAGTTCGGTTTCCGGTCAGGGCGCATGCGGGCTTGCGGGCTCGATCTCCAGCAAGGGATGGTGCAGGAGGCAGCCGATCAATGAGTCTCTCTCATCATTAATGTTTCTATCTCTCTCTTCCCCTCTCCCTTCCTCTCTCTGAAATAAAAACATTTAAAAAAATTTTTTTAAATGTTTAGCATATAAAAATGTCTAGAAGGATAGTAAGTGGTTCTGTCTGGATGAAGGGTTCTGGGCATCAATAATTCTGACAACAAAGATCATTTATCGAGTACCTACTACAGGTGGATCACACGGCAGGCACCAGCATCCCACCCAGGGCACCGGCACTCTGTCCACATCACACAGATCTGAGCCTGTGCTCTTATTTCCCCACTCTCCCTGCCAACACTCCACTGACTGCTCACATGCCCAGGTGACCTGGAGCAGCTGCACCCAGGGCACTGAGGCCTGTTTGCACCTCAGGCATTTCCCAACCTTTGTGTCCCACAACCAGGTGGCCATGTCTATGTGGGAGGCTTCTGAGCTAATGCCTCCAGCTGGGGTGGAGGCCAGCTTGTTACCGGCTGTGCCAGGCATGTCCCCATCCTGGTGCTAAAAACTCTGGTTCCCAGCCTCCCAGACAACAGAGGCACAGGTGGGGGAACAAAGAGAGTGGGAGGAAGGCAAAGTAACCCTCCCTCCTCCCCCTGCCTCACACCACATCCCTGTCCCACCCTGTCCAAAGTGGGGACAACCCCTGCTGGTCAGCCCCTGCATGACTCTAGGTTCCAGCTTCCAGGAAAAGGACCTGGCACCTGAGCTCTGGGCACAGCCCCCCTATGCTGTGCACCAATCCCCTGGATTAACCGCCCTCCTTTCTCAACAACTGAGGTTGTTCCATCTCCTGGCTAACACCAACCGACTCACCAGAGATTGTCAGATAATCTCTGCTCCCCAAAGAGACGCCCCCTCCCGTGTGACCTCGCTCCAGCAGAGCACGGGAGCTCATGAGGATTTTGTTTTACTTTTAATACGGAAAAGTATGAAGAATAAAACAGCCGCCCACAACCCCACCACCCATGCACCGCCTGCCCCTAGCAAATGCTCACAATGAGAAAAGCCAAACGGTACAGGGAAGTGCAAGAAAAGCCTTGTTCTACCTTCCCCACTGCTAACAATTCCTGTGAACCTGTCGGAGGAAGGCAAATGCACGCACGCACCAGCAGTTACCAGGAGGCGCTGCAGCTCTGGGCACAGCGTGGATGGATCTCTCTAAAACGCACACACGGGTTACACTACACACATTCTACAAGTTGTATTTTCACTTGATATATCACAAAGAGAGCAGCCTATCAACCCACATACTGTTTGTCAGCCTTTTAATGGCTGCACAGTATTCCAGACCCATGCTGATGGGCAATTACAATAATTTCTAGTTTTTCAGCTATTACAAGATAGTGCTTCAGTGGATATCTGTCCTAGGACATGTATTTAGCATGCTTTTCACAAAAATGTTCTGTTTGTTTTTTTAATATGTCTTTATTGATTTCAGAGAGAGGAAGGGAGAGAGAGCAACATCAATGATGAGTCACTGATCAGCTGCCTCCCGCACGCCCCTGACCGGGGACGGAGCCCGCAACCGGGGCCTGTGCCCTGACCGGGAATCAAACTGAGATCTCCAGGATCATAGGTTGATGCTTACCTGCTGAGCCACGCCGGCCAGGCCAAAAATGTTTTTATTTTAGCTTTCTTACTTTATTTATCTTTCCTGATATTGAAATAAAGGTTCACTGTAGAAAACTTGGACACTCCCCAAAAAGTACAAAGACAAAGGTCATGTGATCCACCCAACTGCTAACAGAGGCTACAACTGCTAAGTGTCAGGCACGTGCTCAGCACGTTATCAAAGTATTTTCCTTGGTTGGCCGACATCCTGGTCCAGGAGAAACTCCCGTCCAAGGAGGTAAGTGACTGCTGGCAGGGGTCAGGGCTGCCAGGCTGTCTTCCAAAGTCTGGCTGCCCACCAACCTCTCCATGGCTGGGGTGGGGACCACCTACCTCAGCAAGTGCTTCTGAAGCAATCTCAGGGTTCCTGAGGCTGTCCCCCGGCGTGGGGGTGCTGCCGCTGTCCCCCCTCTGCCCCACGCTCAGCGCCTGCTCCCACTTTTGCAGAGCCTCCTCGAACAGCTCCATGCCTGAGCGCAGCGGAGAAGGGGAGTCAGCCCCCAGTAGAGGTAGGGCGGCAGCTCAGGGGGGGCTCGGAAGGGCGGAGCAGGCGGCCTCGAGGACAAGAATGGGCTGAACTGTAAGGTGGGTCCTGGTCACCTTTCTGAGGATGGTCAGTTTACAGGCCTCGCTCAGATCAGACTTGTTCCCAGAGACTGTACCCTGCCCAGAAATGGCTGAAAACCACTGAATGAGGGTTTGGGGGTAGGGAAAGGGAGGGGCCTGCAAAGCAGCACCTGGAGAAGCATCCTGGGCCTGGCTTAGGCTCTCGGGTTCGCGCTGCCCCACCCCGGGAAAGCTGAGGCCACCTCCTGGCCTGTACCTTGCATGTAGAGGCTCTCGGCATTGCCGTCGCTGGTGGTCATAGACTCCTCCATCTCTCTGCCATCCCATGGTCCCGCAGCCGTGGGGCTGGACAAGTTCACTGCCACCATCTGGGCGCCAAGCAGCGAAAGGACACAAGGACACAAGGACACAAGGACAAGGGTGAGGCCTTCCAAAACCCTCTGGGGGGCCTGAGGCTCCCCCACTGCCTGACCACGTGCCACACACTCTCTCCAGACACCATCCCTGCAGTCAGCCCCTGAGTTCAGAGGCCAAGCCCTCAGCACAACCTGGGCCACAAACTCCAAGCACCCGATGACACCTCACAGAAACTGTGGAGGCGGGAGGAAATACTGAGGCCCACACCCAACCCAGAACCCAGTGGCCTCCTACAAAACCCACTCTGGGCCGACTCCCTGCTCTGGGGTTCCGTTGCCAGTCAGACAAGGCAGACGAAGGGAACACCCAGCACACATGGGCCAGCCAGGGCCCACTGTCACCCATGCTTCTCTCCCAAAAGTGGCCACGTCCCGTGACAGGCTGCAGGTTCCAGGACAAGAGCCACCTCTTGCTCGCCCCTGGGCCCCTAGGGCAGGCCCAGCTCAGAACTGGGGCTCAGTCCTGACTGAATGAATTAATAACTAAATGAGTGAATGAGCCAAAATCATTCCCAAACTGAAAATAACTTCTCTTTGTCTCATTTACCGCTGTATCCTCAGCACCTAGAAGACTCCCTGGCACAAAGCTGGTGCTCGCTCAGTGTCGAATGAATGAATGAATGAACTTTTATAGATAAATATCTTCCCCAAGGGGCCAAAAGCATCTCTTCGCACCTGTCTACCCTTTTCTCACCGATGCCTGGCCCTCAGTAAGTGACCAATGATCACCTCTAACAGCCTGCACGATGGATGACCACTGAACAAATGCATGAGTGAATGAATGAAAAACTGAATGAAATCTCTACTCCTATCTATCTACCAGTCCATAAGCCCCGAGGGCAGACACTGAACCTGACTCGGTAGCCAGGACTGAGCCCCAAGGCCATGGCAGGACCCCTGGCCCCCTCCCCTCCTCCCCTGTCCTCACCGAGGCCAAGCTGTGGGAGGAGCCTGAGCGCTTGCTGGGCTCAATGGAGGAGATGCCACTCAGGGTGTCATTGCTCTTGCTACTGGGGCTCTGCACCCTCCGGCTGGAGTAGCCTGTGAGGACAGGAGAACAGGGGTCATGCAGGCTTCCCACCTGGCCTCTGCACAGGCCGTTCCCCCTCCAGACTGCCCTCCCCCCCTCATCTGCAGCCTAGCCTGACCTTCTGAGTCAAGGTTACAGAAAGCACCCCAAGCCATGCACTTGGCAGGCGAGGCTGGGCCCATGCCCCTCACGACCGCATCCCTGTCACCCGCACAGGGCCTGAGTCTGGCTACCTCCCCGCCCCTCTGACTCTGCCTGCCCTGTGCTGCCATGTGAGAGGCTGATCTGGAATTCTCCTTCCAAAAAGGACTCCAGGCAACAGCTTTTAAAGATACATCGAAGATTTCTTTTTAATCCTCCCCTGAGGACAATTTTTCCACTGACTTTTTTAGAGAGTGGTGGGGGGGTAGAGGGAGAGAGAAACATCGATTGGCTGCTTCCTGTATGCACCCCAACCAGGGCCAGGGATTGAACCTGCAGCCCAGGTATGTGCCCTCAACCGGGCATCAAACCCGCCACCCTGCAGTCCACAGGCCGATGCTCTAACCACTGAGCAAAACTGGCCAGGGCCAAGGATTTTTTTTTTCAAGTGAGAAAAGCTGAGAAGGGAAAATCAGGTGAAACCTGGGTGGGGCGGGGGGTGTGTACAGGGAAGGCAATGGAGAGGTTGGTGCTGAAGTAGCTCCCAGTTTCCCAGGGGCCAACGCAAGACGGAAACCCAGTGAATCAGCATTTCTCACACCCTGCTCTAAATGAACCTAAAAGCTCCCTTTTCCCAGTGTAAAGATAAAACTTCCCTTTTGCGATAACTCACAATGAAAATTCATTTCCACACAAGGACCCGGGTGCTCCCAATGGTCCCCAGATAATGGAAACAACCGCCACCTACTGGACACGGGTCAGGCCACCAAACCCTTACAATGACTCAAGACAGCAGGTTCCACTGTCAACCCCGCTTCCCAGAAGAGAGGAACGTGTAGACAGGATGTCACTAGCCCAAGATCCCACAGTTAATAGAGGCCCAGCTGGGACCTGACTCTAGGTCAGGCCCTTCCCTCCCCACCACCTCACACCTACCTTTCTTCACCGATGGGACCTTCCTGGCCATGAGGACGGGGAGGGGCACCGTGACCAGATGCTCACCTCCCATCTCCGGGCCCACCTGCTTCTTCTTCCGCCTTCGCCTCTTCAGCTGGTGGGCGGCCAGGGCCAAGGCCACGGTCCCCAGGGCTGTGGCAAGGAGGACCTTCCGCAGGCCTGGTGTCAACCGCAGCTGTGAGAATGCAGACTGCAGGGAAAGAGGGAAACAGCCGGTTACATCTCCCCAGGAGAACTCTAGGGCAGGCAGAGCTGCCTCTGGGAGCGCAAAAGAACAGGGACCTTCTCAGGCACCTGGGGGATTATCTGTTAACCAGGAACAGTGAGGAGACAGCCACCTCAAGAGAGGGGCCTGGCCAGCCCCTCTGAAGTGTGACCACAGAGATGTAAAGAGAAGGCTGGGGATGGCAAGAAGATGATGCCAACGAGGCAACACCCAGGGTCCAGCAGGCGCCCCTAACAGCATCGGTCATGACCAGCAGCTGCAGTGGTTGGGCGCCCACTACGCCAGGCACCGCACTAGGACTTTACCTGCGTTTCCTCCTCCAGGTAAGGAGTCCGAGGCTCACACAGGTTGACATGTGCTCAAGGTAAAACAGGGACAGAAACTGGACCCAGGTCTGCCAGCTCCATTTCTCCATTACTTCTTGAAGATGGTGATATTCACTCCGCCCACTGTCCCATCTGTACACGTCCCTACTCCACCCTCACTCTGCCTGCTGGGCCGGGAGCCCCTCCAGTCTGCAATGTACTTGGTAGAGCTTTAGAAAGTATCGAGAGACCTGGTCAGCACAGACATTTGAGGCTGGCAGGTAAAGACCAGGCTGGGGGACCTAGACTCCCAACCCAGTCCTGCTTCCTCTGCTCAGAGAGGAGACACGGGACGCCTGAACAGCAATAATGAGGGCCCAGCCTTCCCGATGCTCAGTGTTTCGGGGACGAGAGTGGTTAAAGGGCAGGACCACGACCCACACGATCTTTACCTGCCCAAACGTTGTGTACAGGAACACAGGGATCTCGGCTACCGTCATGGCCAGGGCCTGGATCATGGACATGCCCTCGGTCCTCCGGAACGCCATGGCAGGGCCTACACCCCAGGCAAGAGCCCTTGGGGACAAGTGTTTCCAAGGAGAATGTCTTCAACTGGTTGCTGGCTGGGTCCCAGGCACCATCCACGGTGCAGAAAGACAGGAATGTGCATACCACAGGGTCCCTCCACAGAGCTGAGAGACAGATGACCAAGTCAGACACAAAAACATGTGCACATGAGCACAGAGAAGGGCACACAAGAGTGCCCTGGGGGATGAGGCAGGAGCAAAGTGTCTATCGGAATGCCAACTGGAACCGGGCCCCAGCGTTCTGCACCCACTAGCGGGAAAGCAGCCAAGTGCCCCACAGGCCCTCTGCGCACTGTGAGCCTTGGGAGCAGAAGGCAGTGTCTCTGGCATGTTGGCCAAAAAGCAGATCCAGAGACTGGGAGATGGACAGGCTGCTCTCAAACGTCATGGCCTCTTTTACTAAACACAAACCTCAGGCCTCTAAAGAGTCAGGACCCTGACTGAGAATCATTACAATTTTTCCACCTCCCACAAAGCTAAGAATGTTTTACCTCCTGTGGACTGTGTTATGAAAACAGCAGGGCATCTCCTCAAACAGTTATGGCCACTACACACCTGTGTACCTTTTGTGCTGAGTTCCTGACATATGTTATTTCACTGAATGATTACAACTCTGTAAACAGGGGCTCTCTACCTGTGCCCCACTCATGCCGACTTCCCACCAGGCTGTCAGGCTGTCAGGAGTCCCAAGTTACACGGTGGGTGTGANAAACTGAGGCTCTCAGGCTGTCAGGAGTCCCAAGTTACACGGTGGGTGTGAGGCAGAGTCAGAACTTGGACCAGGGTCTCTCGGACTTTAGACTCTGTGCTCAATGCAACCCTTTCGCTTTACTTTATGTGGAGCGGGAAGAGGCAAGCCCCAGAACCACAGACTACAAGGGCAACTTTCCCCTGGCGTCTTCTGAGACCCTCCCAGGGTACCCCACTGCCCACTGCAAAGCAACGAATACGTAGCTTAACCACAGATAGCCCAGTCCCCAAAATCCTGCAGGGTGCTCGTCAGCTGCCACCACCCAGGCCAAGGATGCCTTCAAAGTCTCTGGGAGCTCAAGCAGAAGGAATATACAAGCCAAGGCAGACCCTGTCCACTTGGGATGGGGGCCAAAGCCACTGGACCAGCACAAGAAACAGCTTATTCCCAGTGAGTGGGAAGGAAGGACAATGCTATCAGTTTAGCTCTAGGGCCGGGCCCTGGGAGGTGGGGAGGGACCTGGCAGGGAAACGTTCCCCAGGCCCAGGAAACTGTCATGCCAAGGGTAGGAGGCATCCGATCAGGAGGCTGCAAATCGAGCTATGTGACTGCCAGTGGTCAGGGCCAGGGTTAACATCACAGGCCACCCCTCTCACCCCCTATTTCCCAAGCACTTACTACAGGCCGGCCTGGGGACAGGCTCTGCACAGAAGACTTTGAGTCTAGTCACCCGTAGGACTCTCACAACCACTGTATATAATGAGGAAACTGAGACTCGGAGGGGTGGGTGACCTGAGCGAGGTCACTGAGGAAAGGGCCAACCTGGGATGTGACCTCAGCTCTGGGGGATCCCAAGGCTACGGGTGTTCTCCCCAGAGCTTTCTGCTACGACGAAGGCCTCTCCCTCCATGGCGCACCTGAAGGACTTCTGGGTCCCCAGATAAGAGGCTCACGGGCATAAACCAATAAAGATGAGCCTGACCCTGAACCACAGGCTCCGGGAGTGAGACAGGGCTGAGGGGCCCCGCACCTGTCCACAGGAAAGTCAAGAGCAGCCTCTGCTGCCCCAGCCGAGGGGAAGAGCGACAACTCCCACCCAGGAGCTGGCTTCGCTCCAGGGGGGCCTCCAGACCCAGCCCAACCTGCTCTCTCCGAGCCCCTGCACCGGCCAGGGAGAGGCCTCGGTGATGATACGCCCAAGGCCACGGCCGCACCCCCCAGGGACACTTCTAATGCCATCCCCACCTGGGCAGTCACCTGTCCCGTCCTATAACCTTGGGCGGCCACCTACCCGTTCCGCCCCCCGTCCGCCCCGATGCCCACACTTTCCACCGGGGCACCTCCGCCCTTGCCCCAGACGATCCCGCGAATGACTCTTGGCCTCAGCAGTCCCCAGGACGGCCTTGACCTCAGCAACGACCGTGACCCAGGCAGGCACTCCCTCGAACCGCCCTCTGCCCAAGGCTCAGTCCGTGCCACCCTGGACACCTCAGCAGCCCGCCCGGGCCGGACCGGGCCAGGCCCCGGAGCCCCCGCCCTGGACCCCGGCAATGTCCGCGTCCTCAGAACCGGCTACTTCCACGCCGGGCCCCCTAGCGCAGCCCCAGCCAGGCCCCCGCGCTGCCCCAGCCCCGGGGTTCCCTCCAGGCGCCCCTGCTC